TTGTATGTATTTTTTTATGGTGTTGTTGTATGTATGTATGATGTATGTATGTGTTATGTATGTATGTATGTATATGTATGTATGTATGTATGCATGTATGTATGTATGTATGTATGTGTGTATGTATGTACGTATGTATGTATGTATGTATGTATGTATGTATGTGTGTATGTTTGTACGTACGTATGTATGTATGTATGTATGTATGTATGTATGTATGTATGTATGTATGTACGTATGTATGTATGTATGTATGTATGTGTGTATGTATGTGTGTATGTATGTATGTGTGTATGTATGTATGTATGTATGTATGTATGCATGTATGTATGTGTGTATGTATGTATGTATGTATATGTATGTATGTATGTATGTATGTATGTATGTATGTGTGTATATATGTATGTATGTATGTACTCACCTAGTTGTACTCACCTAGTTGAGGTTGCGGGGGTCGAGTCCGAGCTCCTGGCCCCGCCTCTTCACTGATCGCTACTAGGTCACTCTCCCTGAGCCGTGAGCTTTATCATACCTCTGCTTAAAGCTATGTATGGATCCTGCCTCCACTACATCGCTTCCCAAACTATTCCACTTACTGACTACTCTGTGGCTGAAGAAATACTTCCTAACATCCCTGTGATTCATCTGTGTCTTCAGCTTCCAACTGTGTCCCCTTGTTACTGTGTCCAATCTCTGGAACATCCTGTCTTTGTCCACCTTGTATGTGTGTATGTATGTGTGTATGTATGTACGTATATATGTATGTATGTATGTATGTATGTATGTATGTACGTATGTATGTATGTATGTATGTATGTATGTATGTATGTATGTATGTATGTATGTGTGTATGTATGTACGTATGTATGTATGTATGTATGTATGTATGTATGTGTGTATGTATGTATGTATGTATGTATGTATGTATGTGTGTATGTATGTATGTATGTATGTATGTATGTATGTACGTATGTATGTGTGTATGTATGTATGTATGTATGTATGTATGTATGTATGTGTGTATGTATGTATGTATGTATGTATGTACCTGGAGTTTACCTGGAGAGAGTTTCGGGGGTCAACGCCCCCGCGGCCCGGTCTGTGACCAGGCCTCCTGGTGGATCAGCGCCTGATCAACCAGGCTGTTGCTGCTGGCTGCACGCAAACCAACGTACGAGCCACAGCCCGGCTGATCAGGAACTGACTTTAGGTGCTTGTCCAGTGCCAGCTTGAAGACTGCCAGGGGTCTGTTGGTAATCCCCCTTATGTGTGCTGGGAGGCAGTTGAACAGTCTCGGGCCCCTGACACTTTTTGTATGGTCTCTTAACGTGCTAGTGACACCCCTGCTTTTCATTGGGGGGATGGTGCATCGTCTGCCAAGTCTTTTGCTTTCGTAGTGGGTGATTTTCGTGTGCAAGTTCGGTATTAGTCCCTCTAGGATTTTCCAGGTGTATATAATCATGTATCTCTCCCTCCTGCGTTCCAGGGAATACAGGTTTAGAAACCTCAAGCGCTCCCAGTAATTGAGGTGTTTTATCTCCGTTATGCGCGCCGTGAAAGTTCTCTGTACATTTTCTAGGTCGGCAATTTCACCTGCCTTGAAAGGTGCTGTTAGAGTGCAGCAATATTCCAGCCTTGATAGAACAAGTGACCTGAAGAGTGTCATCATGGGCTTGGCCTCCCTAGTTTTGAAGGTTCTCATTATCCATCCTGTCATTTTTATAGCAGATGCGATTGATACAATGTTATGGTCCTTGAAGTTGAGATCCTCCGACATAATCACTCCCAAGTCTTTGACGTTGGTGTTTCGCTCTATTTTGTGGCCAGAATTTGTTTTGTATTCTGATGAAGATTTAATTTCCTCATGTTTACCATATCTGAGTAATTAAAATTTCTCATCGTTGAACTTCATATTGTTTTCTGCAGCCCACTGAAAGATTTGGTTGATGTCCGCCTGGAGCCTTGCAGTGTCTGCAATGGAAGACACTGTCATGCAGATTCGGGTGTCATCTGCAAAGGAAGACACGGTGCTGTGGCTGACATCCTTGTCTATGTCGGATATGAGGATGAGGAACAAGATGGGAGCTAGTACTGTGCCTTGTGGAACAAGCTTTTCACCGTAGCTGCCTCGGACTTTACTCTGTTGACGACTACTCTCTGTGTTCTGTTAGTGAGGAAATTATAGATCCATCGACCGACTTTTCTGTTATTCCTTTAGCGCGCATTTTGTGCGCTATTACGCCATGGTCACACTTGTCGAAGGCTTTTGCAAAGTCTGTATATATTACATCTGCATTCTTTTTGTCTTCTAGTGCATTTAGGACCTTGTCGTAGTGATCCAGTAGTTGAGACGACAGGAGCGACCTGTTCTAAACCCATGTTGCCCTGGGTTGTGTAACTGATGGGTTTCTAGATGGGTGGTGATCTTGCTTCTTAGGACCCTTTCAAAGATTTTTATGATATGGGATGTTAGTGCTATTAATCTGTAGTTCTTTGCTGTTGCTTTACTGCCCCCTTTGTGGAGTGGGCTATGTCTGTTGTTTTTAGTAACTGAGGGACGACCCCGTGTCCATGCTCCCTCTCCATAGGATGGAAAAGGCTCGTGATAGGGGCTTCTTGCAGTTCTTGATGAACACAGAGTTCATGAGTCTGGCCTGGGGCAGAGTGCATGGGCATGTCATTTATCGCTGTTCGAAGTCATTTGGCGTCAGGATAACATCGGATAGGCTTGTGTTAATCAAATTTTGTGGCTCTCTCATAAAAAATTCATTTTGATCTTCGACTCTCAGTCTGGTTAGCGGCTTGCTAAAAACTGAGTCATATTGGGACTTGAGTAGCTCACTCATTTCCTTGCTGTCATCTGTGTAGGACCCATCTTGTTTAAGTAGGGGCCCAATACTGGACGTTGTTCTCGATTTTGATTTGGCATAGGAGAAGAAATACTTTGGGTTTCTTTCGATTTCATTTATGGCTTTTAGTTCTTCCCGCGATTCCTGACTCCTAAAGGATTCTTTTAGCTTAAGTTCGATGCTTGCTATTTCTCTGACCAGTGTCTCCCTGCGCATTTCAGATATATTGACCTCTTTTAGCCGCTCTGTTATTCTTTTCCGTCGCCTGTAAAGGGAGCGCCTGTCTCTTTCTATTTTACATCTACTCCTCCTTTTTCTTAGAGGAATAAGCCTTGTGCATACATCGAGTGCCACCGAGTTAATCTGTTCTAGCATAAGTTTGGGTCTGTGTTGCTTAGTATATCTTCCCAGCTTATATCGGTTAGGACTTGGTTTACTTGGTCCCACTTTATGTTTTTGTTATTGAAGTTGAATTTGGTGAATGCTCCCTCGTGACTAGTCTCATTTTGTCGGTCTGGGGCTCCATGCATACATGTCTGAACCTCAATTATGTTGTGATCTGAGTATATTGTTTTTGATATGGTGACATTTCTTATCAGATCATCATTGTTAGTGAAGATGAGGTCTAGTGTATTCTCAGTCTAGTAGGCTTATTATTTGCTGGTTTAAATTGAATTTTGTGCAGAGATTTAAAAGCTCGGTGTGAGTGAGTTTTCATCAGAGCTGCCTCCTGGTGTTATTACTGAAAAATATTTTTGCTAATCCTCCATTTTAGGTGCCTTTAAATTGAAAACCCCCAGGAGCAAGATGTTGGGGCAGGAGCTGGAAAATTTTCCGGGACAATGGTAAATTTTTAACAGCTGTTCCTGGAATGCTGGGATGTTGCATCCGAGGAGGCTTGTAGACTACCACAATGATTTAGGTTTTGGTTCTCGACCTTTACTGCTAAAACTTCCACTCGTCATTTGAGGCATTAACCCAGTTCTGTGCAAACAAGTGACTCTGCACAATGTTATGTATGGTATGTGATGTATGTATGTATGTATGTAGTAGTATGTAATGTATGTATGTGTGTAATGTATGTATGTGTGTATGTATGTATGTATGTATGTATGTATGTATGTATGTGTGTATGTATGTATGTATGTATGTATGTATGTAGTATGTATGTATGTGTGTTATGTATGTATGTATGTGTGTATGTATGTATGTATGTATGTATGTATGTATGTATGTATGTAGGTATGTATGTATGTGTGTATGTATGTATGTATGTATGTATGTATGTATGTATGTGTGTATGTATGTATGTATGTATGTGTGTATGTATGTATGTGTGTATGTATATTTTGAATATTTTTAACTGGTGGTTGACAGCTTCCAGTGGGAGCTCCATGAAGCCAGTCACTGGCTCATGATCCAAGGAAGAGGAGCTACCCTGCCCTTCTTTGGATTAAACTTGATTGCCTCCCATTACCTCAGGAGCTATATGACCCTTAAGAGTTTAGCGCATCCATGACAACGTGAGTGTTTCATTCCAGGTTCCCTTGTTCACCAGCAGCACCAACTGCCGCCTTAACTTCATAAAAAATACTCGATAAAAACAATATATTTCATGATAGTGGTGATAAATATTAAGATATATTTATAAATACTGCAATATATATGTTAACACTTTCCATAATTATTGAAAAAAATAATATGTAATATACAGAGGAACAGGAACGGAACATTGTTGACTTTAAGCTGCCCGCTAAAACTGGCTCATTCAAGCTTTATCATCAGTACTAAGCTGGCAGTTAATAGCATCAGTGTTTAGGTAAGCTGGCAGTTTATAACGTCAATATTAGGTAAGCTGGCAGTTAATGGTATCAATGTTTAGGTAAGCTGGCAGTTGATGGCATCAATGTTTAGGTAAGCTGGCAGTTGATGGCATCAATGTTTAGGTAAGCTGGCAGTTGATGGCATCAATGTTTAGGTAAGCTGGCAGTTAATACATCAATGTTTAGGTAAGCTGGCAGTTAATGGCATCAATGTTTAGGTAAGCTGGCAGTTAATACATCAATGTTTAGGTAAGCTGGCAGTTAATGGCATCAATGTTTAGGTAAGCTGGCAGTTAATACATCAATGTTTAGGTAAGCTGGCAGTTAATGGCATCAATGTTTAGGTAAGCTGGCAGTTGATGGCATCAATGTTTAGGTAAGTGGCAGTTGATGGCATCCAATGTTTAGGTAAGCTGGCAGTTGATGGCACCAATGTTTAGGTAAGCTGGCAGTTAATGACATCAATGTTTAGGTAAGCTGGCAGTTAATGACATCAATGTTTAGGTAAGCTGGCAGTTGATGGCATCAATGTTTAGGTAAGCTGGCAGTTGATGGCATCAATGTTTAGGTAAGCTGGCAGTTGATGGCACCGATGTTTAGGTAAGCTGGCAGTTAATGACATCAATGTTTAGGTAAGCTGGCAGTTAATAACATCAATGTTTAGGTAAGCTGGCAGTTAATGGCATCAATGTTTAGGTAAGCTGGCAGTTAATACATCAATATTTAGGTAAGCTGGCAGTTAATGGCATCAATGTTTAGGTAAGCTGGCAGTTAATAACATCAATTTTTAGGTAAGCTGGAAGTTAATGGCATCAAAGTTTAGGTAAGCTGGCAGCTAATACATCAATGTTTAGGTAAGCTGGCAGTTAATACATCAATGTTTAGGTAAGCTGGCAGTTAATGGCATCAATGTTTAGGTAAGCTGGCAGTTAATACATCAATGTTTAGGTAAGCTGGCAGTTAATACATCAATGTTTAGGTAAGCTGGCAGTTAATACATCAATGTTTAGGTAAGCTGGCAGTTAATGGCATCAATGTTTAGGTAAGCTGGCAGTTAATAACATCAATGTGTAGGTAAGCTGGCAGTTAATGGCATCAATGTTTAGGTAAGCTGGCAGGTAATGGCATCAATGTTTAGGTAAGCTGGCAGTTAATGGCATCTATGTTTAGGTAAGCTGGCAGTTAATGATATCAATGTTTAGGTAAGCTGGCAGTTAATGGCATCAATGTTTAGGTAAGCTGGCAGTTAATGGCATCAATGTTTAGGTAAGCTGGCAGTTAATACATCAATGTTTAGGTAAGCTGGCAGTTAATACATCAATGTTTAGGTAAGCGGCAGTTAATGGCATCAATGTTGAGGTAAGCTGGCAGTTAATACATCAATGTTTAGGTAAGCTGGCAGTTAATGGCATCAATGTTTAGGTAAGCTGGCAGTTAATGGCATCAATGTTTAGGTAAGCTGGCAGTTAATACATCAATGTTTAGGTAAGCTGGCAGTTAATACATCAATGTTTAGGTAAGCTGGCAGTTAATACATCAATGTTTAGGTAAGATTGCAGTTAATAGCATCAATGTTTAGGTAAGCTGGCAGTTAATGGCATGTTTAGGTAAGCTGCAGTTAATTTGGCATCAATGTTTAAAATTTAAGCTGGCATTTTAATAACCCAATGTTTATTTAATCTGGCAGTTAATAACCTCAATGCTTATTTAAGCTGGCAGTTAATAACATCAATGTGTATTTAAGCTGGAAGTTAACATCAATGTTTATTTAAGCTGGCAGTTAACATCAATGTTTATTTAAGTTGGCAGTTAATGGCATCAATATCTAGGGAAGCTGGCAGTTAATAGCATCAATGTTTAGGGAAGCTGGCAGTTAATGACATCAATGTTTAGGGAAGCTGGCAGTTAATGGCATCAATGTTTAGGGAAGCTGGCAGTTAATGGCATCAATGTTTAATTAAGCTGGCAGTTAATGGCACCAATGTTTAGGTAAGCTGGCAGTTAATGGCATCAATGTTTAGGTAAGCTGGCAGTTAATGGCATCAATGTTTAGGTAAGCTGGCAGTTAATGGCATCAATGTTTAGGTAAGCTGGCAGTTAATGGCATCAATGTTTAGGTAAGCTGGCAGTTAATGGCATCAATGTTTAGGGAAGCTGGCAGTTAATGGCTTCAATGTTTAGGGATGCTGGCAGTTAATGGCATCAATGTTTAGGGAAGCTGGCAGTTAATGGCATCAATGTTTAGGTAAGCTGGCAGTTAATGGCATCAATGTTTAGGTAAGCTGGCAGTTAATGACATCAATGTTTAGGTAAGCTGGCAGTTAATATTTAGATAAGCTGACCAGCCGGGCTGTAGTTCGTACATTGGATTGCGTGCAGCCAGCGGTAACAGCCTGGTTGATCAGACCCTGATCCACCTTGAGGCCTGGTCACAGACCGGGCCGCGGGGACATTGACCCCCGGAACTCTCTCCAGGTAAACTCCAGGTAATATCCACAATATTTACTTAAGCCAAGATTTAATATTCTCAGTACAGTGGGCCCTGACTTACGATATTAATTCGTTCCAGAAGGCTGTTCGGGTGCCGTTACCGAACGAATTTGCTTCCATGAGGAATATTGTAAATTAGACTAGTCCATTTCAGACCCCCAAAAATACACTTACAAAAGTACAGTGGACCCCCGCATAACGATTACCTCCGAATGCGACCAATTATGTAAGTGTATTTATGTAAGTGCGTTTGTACGTGTATGTTTGGGGGTCTTAAATGGACTAATCTATTTCACAATATTCCTTATGGGAACAAATTCGGTCAGTACTGGCACCTGAACATACTTCTGGAGTGAAAAAATATCGTTAACCGGGGGTCCACTGTACTTGCAAAAATACACTAAAATAATTGTTCGAGTTAGGAGCTGTTCATAAGTTGGGGGTCCACCGTATTTAGGTAAGGTGAGTCAAGGTTTAGGTAAGGTGACTGCACTGTATGACCCTTGTAGGTTTAGCGCTTCTTTTTTATTGTAATACACCTACCATCCGACTTAGGACCCAGTTCGGTTCCGAGAAACCGGTCGTAAGTCGAAATGGTCGTAAGTTGAACTTTACTACTGAATATCAACAAAACATTTTTGTAATGGCTTTATTTTATTGTTTTATTTTGGTATTTCATATTTTACTTTACTTTTTATGCTGTTAGTACTGTATTTTATACTGTAAGGTTTTGGATAAACACTGTGTACAACAGAAATACAGGTGTCCCTCAACATTCGCGAGGGTTAGGGGATCAAGAGCCTCGCGAATGTTGAAAAACCGTGAATGTTTGGTGCCCCAATATATTGTAGGGAAATATAAAACAATACTGCTTAACTTGTTGAACCATGAACAATCATAAAATACATGAAAACGTCGTAAATTGTACTAAATATATACAAGTTATGCTTTAATAACATGTATGTTATTAAATACCACAGACTCCACCACTGCCTCCACCACTTCCTCCTCCATTGCGAGTCCCTACTACCCTCCCTCCGACCCCCGCAACTGGCAGCCAGCCCTCCCACCACTCAGTGTGGTGAGTGTTTTGTTTGTTCATTATTTGCTATTAAACTACAGTATAAATAATGTAAACACATTCATGACTGCATATTGGAATGGCTATTTGGACAGGTATTAGACAGTGACATCATGTGTTTACTCTTGAACACAGCAAAGAATCAAACATTTCTGCTACTGCTAATAATAACAATAGTAATAATAATAATAATAATAATAATAATAATACGATATAATTGAAGGAGGAAATTGTACAAAAATACGAGGGAGTGGTTGACACATCGTCAGTGTGGCTTTGTTTATGCTGGAGTGAACATTAGTCTCCCTGCTCTTCCAAACATTTCACAATAATTCAGTGGTAGAGGCAGTGGTAGAGGCAGTGGTAGAGGCAGTGGTATTTACTAACATATACGTATGTTATAAATAATAATAGTACATGTTAATATTAATAACATTTATAATAATAATAATAATAAATGTTATTCATAATGTACTATTATTATTTATAACATATATGTTAGTAAATATCACTGCCTCTACCACTGCCTCTACCACTGCCTCTACCACTGCCTCTACCACTGCCTCTACCACTGCCTCTACCACTGCCTCTATCACTGCCTCTATCACCTCTACCACTCCAGTCACACTCAATCTACAAGCACCAAACAATGAATTATTGTGAAATGTTTGGAAGAGCAGGGAGACTAATGTTCACTCCAGCATAAACAAAGCCACACTGACGATGTGTCAACTACTCCCTCGTATTTTTGTACAATTTCCTCCTTCAATTATATCGTATTATTATTATTATTATTATTATTATTATTATTATTATTATTATTATTATTATTATTATTATTATTATTATTATTATTATTATTATTATTATATTATTATTTTATTATTATTATTATTATTATTATTATTATTATTATTATTATTGTTAGCAGTAGCAGAAATGTTTGATTCTTTGCTGTGTTCAAGAGTAAACACATGATGTCACCGTCTAATACCTGTCCAAATAGCCATTCCAATATGCAGTCATGAATGTGTTTACATTATTTATACTGTAATTTAATAGCAAATAATGAACAAACAAAACACCACACTGAGTGGTGGGAGGGCTGGCTTCCAGTTGCGGGGTTCGGAGGGAGGGTAGTAGGGACTCGCAGGTGGCGGGAAACTTGAATATGATTTGGTGGCTGGGAATTTGGTGGCTGGGAATTTGGCGGTTGGGAATTCGCGAATGTGTGAAGCCCGCGAAAGCTGAAAACGTGAATGTTGAGGGAGACCTGTAGTTGTTTATTTCCCAGAGATTTGGCATAGAAAACACGGTCGTAAGTCGAGTGGTCGTAAGTCGAGCAGGTCGTAAGTCGGATGGTAGGTGTAATTAAGTAAGGCTAGTCGAGGTTTATTGAAGGCTAGTCGAGGTTTATTGAAGGCT